TGTATAAAACTTTCTATAACTACAGTAAAGGGGTGCTGCTAAAGGCATATTCCCAGGAGAGGCAACCCTGTTCTCTCTGAACATCTGGATAAGGGAGTTACTTATGAACCCTATCATAAAATGCTGTCCAGCTGTTGTGAAATAAAGGCTGTTTTCATGTGTGGCTTTTAGTGGTTGGGACAGGAGAATTTCTATTTTCAGCTTTCTTTCTTGAGCATGCCAGAAAACAGCAAGACATCATATTCTGCTTGTTCTCCTAAGGAATTGGCTTAATCTTCTTAAGCATCTGATGTGAGTGCTCTCTTAAAGTATTACTGTTTGATTGAGAGATAACTTATGCATAAAAATAGAGTTGGCCATGTTTCTAAAGAGATTCTCACTGATTTGATCAGCAACAGAGACCCTAGGCCAGGAGTGTCAAACTCAAGGCCCAGGGGCCAGATCCGGCCCATGGGTACATTGATGTGGTTCATGAGGCCGACCAGGAAACAGCAAAGGACCGGCCCCTGGTGCCTCTGGTGCAAAAATGGAGCTTGCTCACAGAGGATTGCAGGAAGGCATCCCTCCCAAGCTCCATTTTTGGAACTTGTGAGCCTGTTTTCGCTGGCAGAGTGCTCAGGCCATCACAGGCGTCCTTGACATGAGTGACGTGAACTGGCCATGCCCACCCTGGCCCCCTGAGGTCGAACACAACTCTGATGCGGCCCTCAATGAAATTGAGTTTGACACCCCTGCCCTAGGCCATGATTCTGAATATCCTTACATGACAGTAAACAAGTGGTGGGATTCAAAAAATTTTTACTACCGGTTCTGTAGGCGTGGCTTGATGGGCGTGGCAGGGGAAGGATACTGTAAAATCTCCAGTCAGAGGTGGTATTTGCCAGTTCTCTGAACTACTCAAAATTTCTGCTACCGGTTCTCCAGAACTGGTCAGAATCTGCTGAATACCACTTCTGCAGTAAACCCACATTATGAAATATGTCCAGTAAATATCATTGGAAATAAAGTAGACAAAAAGTGGCAGCTTTGATAATGTGTATGCATTTGGATCCTGAAAAAAGACCTGCTGTATCTGTGGTACACTCATGCTTTTAGCATATGCTTTATGTGGGAAATGTTCTGTTTTAAATGGCTACATAAAATATTTCTTAGACCATAGGCTGCTTCTGAAGCTATTCAGGATGTAGGGCAAAAAGAATGCAACTAATTGGAGAGAATCCGTTGTTGGTATTGAAAGCAATTGCTGCTGTCTGTGAAATCATAAAGCGAGGATGATTTCAAATTTGATGTTCATGTTCTTAATCTTTTAAAATGTGTTCTAACGAAGGGGGCTGATGAGTAAAATGCTTTCAGAAAATGTGGAAGATCCTATAAAAGGTAAACGAGTACAGTGCTGTTATCCCTTATTTTCATTTCACTTCTTAAATTACTGCCTTAACATGATTTGCAGAAGAGCACAATGTTCTCTCCTCCAAGCTTCATCCTGGGAAAAGTGTGGCAAGGAGGTTTGAAGAAGAGCAAATCCCAATCTGTTTTTCATTTTCTCTGCAGCTGTCTTCCAGCTTTGAGTTCTGCTGGACTGCTACAGCTGGAATCATTTTATTACTTTTATCCAACTTCCTTTTGCTTGTGCACACAGAAATGTTTTAATAGTCTTGGAAAAAAGTCAAAGTATGTCTTAGCAACCATAGAACAGTAATTATTATACCAGCAACTGAGAGCAAACTAGGTTTCTGCTGTGCATTAAAAATTGGTATAAGTTTCCTTTACAGGTGATAATGGGTAGTTTATGCCAGTGTTCCAATTGAAGGATATTGAATACAGGTGTGTAATTGCTTTGGCAGTAGAAAAGAATCGGGCATTTGTATATCTGTGTTTGTGTATAGTAAGATAGAGGTCATAATGAATCTTAATGCAGCGAGGTTTTTTCATTTATTTTACTATAAAATGTTTGTTTTGGCTTTTTTAGTATAATAACTTGTGTTGGGCCTCTTGCTGGAATTATGTTTCTGAGTAATTTTTTTGTTTTGTTTTGTTACTGTTTTATTAAGTTTTTTTTAAGGAATGAACCCATGCAAATTCAGAGTAACCTAAATGGAGAGTAAATAAATCACTTTACATTACTGTAGCTCTTCCTGATGCTTAAAGCCATATAGGTCAATATGTTGCCACAGTATAGGATAACTATACTGCATGTTCTCAGGACCTCAGGAATGCTTACATTGGCCAATGCTTATAAACTGGATCTGTCTTTTAGTGCGCAAACAGTGCTCAACTGGTTACATTCAGGAAGCTGCTTGTAAGTTCATTTTGTTTGCAAGGCCAAACAACATTCATATGTGGCATCCTTCTCTCAACTTCCAGGTCCTTCTAAATTGGATTTAGGAACAGATTTGTTTGTATCATTAAAAGTTTGTAAGTAGAGTAATGTCTGTGTATGCTCTCTGAATTGTTGCTCTCTGAGCACAACTACTGACTTTAGTAATGAGATCCTAAATGCAGCTAGTTTTCCTTCAACTGGACATTAACAGATACTATCACCACAAATAGGACTGTGTCTTAGCCTCACTTGTATTGATGTTTTTTTAATCAACAATGTTTTGACCTTAAAGAAATTATTTTTTGGATTAAAGCAATTGAATTTTTGATAGAAAAAGCTGTCTGCCTTTGTCTATGCCAATTACCTGATCTTAATAGCTCTGTTAGAATAGCCTTCCACAGCTGCATTCTGGGGAAAAAGAACTTTTCCCAGAATGCAGATAGAGCAGCGTTCCACTCCTTGAATATTTATTTCCTGGGCAGCTATTTTTCAGATCTGTGCAGCTTTACTTCAGTGGCAATTGCAAATGAAGTGTCTTTTGGGCATACACACACTCAAAGCATAGGGAAAAGGCTTCTGTACAGCTTTGGTCAATGCATTCCACAACCCTACAAAATAGCCCATCCCATGGTGAAATTGATAGATAATTTATGTTGATAACTTCTCTGTTAACATAAATACTGCTATAGAGACATTTTGATAATTGATTAAACAAGTGGCTGTCATATCACTAGCTCTGTTATAAAATATAGCCTTGGTACCCATGTATTCTTCAATAGACAAAGAGTTGAAAGTGTCTCAGAAATTCATCATTGTACATCTAGTGAAGAATCTTTATGCCATGTCTAAAGCCCTTTCAAATAATTTTGTTTTTGGTGGTTAAGGCTTACAGGGTCTCGGTATTAAACTTGGCACTTTTCCTACCTGTGGCGTCCTAGAAATCCCTTTGTTATGTTTCTTCATCTCTTGGCTTGGTAGCAGTTATTGATATTTTCCTTGGAAAATTTGAGTTCACAGCCTATCACAAGACTTCTGTTTTCTGAATGGAACGTTCTTCTCCTTTATTTTTTCTCAAAATTCTGGCATTTTCAACTCTATTCTGAAAGTTCATATGCGTTTTGGAGCAAATTTGGGGGGAAATGTGAGATAAAACTGCTCGTCCCTTCCCCCGTTTCAAATGAATGTGGCTTTTCTTTTTTTGTGAAGCGTTAATTGGAAACCATGTTTCTCTATTTTTCATTGACAAAATAAGATATCCATGATCTGTATAATGTTTGATTACCCCCTTTTATTTTTTTAAAACATTTTGTGCTGTTATGTCCATTACCATATTTGTGTAAGATAACAAGAATTGGATATATTTGGGGTATGTTGTTGACTTTTTTCCTTTCCATTATTTTTTCCTGTTGTCAGTATGTATATATGTATGTTTTAACAAAAGTAAATTACATTCTCCCTGTCCATGGAATGAATTATGTTTGTTCTATTTATTTAGATGCATTACATTTTTATCCCACTTCTGTGTGAAACCTCAAAATGAATTATGGGAGGAGGTGTTCCCTAATTCATTTTCCACATCAAATATTCTTTTTAAAGAAGATTGTGTTAAAAAGAGAGAGGGAGGGGGAGAGAGAGAATGGGAGAGAGAGAGAGCCCAATATGTTTTATGACATCTAAAAATTTCATTGCAAAGGTTTGGTTCAATTCTGTAATATGGATGTTGGACAAGGTTGAATTGATCAAAGCATTAGCTTTGAATTAATAGTTTTCTCAGAACATAGAAAGGATATAGTAAACTATTGGTCAAACAATAAACACTTTACTCCAGATTATTATAATAACTGAAAATGTCTCATTTTTATGGAAGTGCTGGCTAGTATACAATATTCTTTCAAGATGGACTTTGCCAGGTGATGTCTTATATATTAAGGCATGATTAAGGCATTTATCTGAAAGTAGCCTAAATTCCTAAAACTTTCTTTTGTCCCACTTTTTTATAGAGTTACAATAGTTGTTATGGAAATGTTTGTTGTACTTATAGATCTCTTCTCTCTGTTCTGCAGAATTGAGACTTCTTAACTACATCATTCTATTCCACTACCGGCTACAAGAACAAGGAAAATTCTTGATTGATATTCTTAATTTGTCAAGCAAAACAGTTGTAGTGATTGGGAAAATGATTAATACTCATTGGGAAAATGATTAATACTCATTGGGAAAATGATTAATACTCATTGGGAAAATGATTAATACTTATTTAGATCTAGAGCAGTTTTCTATGTGACAAATATAAGAACAATTGTATGGTCATATTGTGTGGCCATGATGTTTGTAGATCTGGATGATTGCTTCCTTCCCTGAACTTCTGATAAAGTATGTCCACTGAGCAAGTACCTTTAAGGAGTGATATCCTCAAATTAATCTGCCTTCTTCTTTACTTCCTCTTTCATTGCTTTGGGTGACAACGGACTTCCAGTGTATTCATTAATGCTACCTCCATTTATTTTAAAATAGTATCTGTGATGCATTTTTAATTATGTATGAAATGGGTACTTTGAGTATCATATGCAGCTTACTAACTGAAGTTCTAAACAACATTGCAGTGGATTTAATTTTATATAGGAGAAGCGAAGGGGAAAAAAATCCCTAATTATGTATTTTAATATATAATCTTTTCCAGGCAATTCCAGAAAATACATCAAGTTTGCTAATGAAAGATCCGATTTTCCAACATGAATCTCTAGCAAGCAATGATCCTCACAAAACCTTATGCATAAGACCCTCGGTCTTTGAAGATTTGAACACCAGAAGATTGTACTTCCACAACCAGCCAAACCAGGTAATCCTTGAAAAGAAACTTGTATATTGAACGTGTCAAAAGATACCTCTGAAGGGCTACCAGAGTTTTGTCAACAAATATTACTTCTCCAGTTCAGATATAATGGAATAGAGGTTTCCCTGCAATTATGTGAAATGTCACGAAAGAGACTGGAACTTTCTGCTTTCAAACAAATCATAATTCTCGCTATGATTTGGCCATAATGAGTAACTGTTGCTTGATTAACAGCAGAACCAGGTGCTTTGAAGTCGCTTCTCTGGTTTGCATAGTTAATTGATGCACTGAAGCTATTTCTACCCATGTTCTATGACAGAAATTCATTGCTTTTTTCCTTCACACACACACACACACACACACACACACACACTGTGGACATGCTATGGCTCAGTGGTTATAGACGTTGAGCTTGTTAGCTGGGAAGTGGACAAACAGTTCAAGACATGACAGAGTGAGCTCCCATTATTGGCCCCAGCTCCTGCCCACCTAAACAATTCAAAAGAATGCAAATGTGAGTAGATAGCTAGGTACCACTTAGGTGGGAAGGTAACAGTATTTTGTGTACCTCGGCATGTAATCATGCTGGGCACATGACCATAGAAGTGTCTTCAGACAAAGCTTGCTCCCTCAGCTAAGAAATGGAGATGAGCTCCACCCCTAGAGTCAGATTTGACTGAAAGAGGAAACAATCAAGTTTATCTTACCGTCAACCAGCCTGTCATCTCACCAATGTCATGCTCAGCAACCATTTAGAGTTACTAACAAGTCATGAAATTCATAGTTTTTATGGAAACTTTGATTTTAGGCTGAGAAAACTGAAATATCTTTTCCAGTGCCAAAAAAATCCTTTATAAAATAAGTCTTTAAAATAAGTATATATTTCTAAAGTGGTACTGTGCAGTGGTGGGATTCAAAAAATTTTTACTACTAGTTCTGTGGGTGTGGCTTGGTGGGCCTGGCAAGGGAGGGATATTGTAAAATCTCCATTTCAGCCCCATCCACTAACCTGCTTTCCAGCTCCATTCTCCTGTGCAGGGCAACAAAAGAAGACCTAGCCGATCAGCTGGGACTCAAGAGGCAGAGAATAGATGGGGGCAGGGCCAGTCAGAGGTGGTAATTGCCGGTTCTTCGTACTACTCAAAATTTCCACTACTGGTCAGAACCTGCTGAATACCACCTCTGGTACTGTGTTTCATTTCTCTTGCGTCTGCTTGTGCTGAAGCATGTTGGAAGTATCTCACACATTGTTTTTTTCTGATTGAGTTTATTCAAATCTAGACAAGCTATGTTCTTGGGTCAAAATCATACTTCTATAAATGTTTGAACAAATACCTGTTGTGTTTGTCCAAAATTATGCTGGCTATATGATTCTGAACAGCATTGTACTGTAAGCCAGTTTCCATCCATGACTCAAACGATCCTTTTGTTACCATGCACACTGATTTTCCATAGTAATGACTGAGCTACTTTGTAATTAAAATTCAGAAACATCTGTAACAAAAATTTTGATTCGCATGCCCTGCTTTAATTGAGAATGGAACTTGACTTGGATTCCAAAGAATTCCAAATTTAGCTTGCTCATTATGTAGAAAGTTTGAACCATTTGGCAAGAGTTATTTTCATTAGTTTGAGCCAAGTAAGTCATAGTGAATCTCAAATATTCCAACATAAGGTTGCTCTGCCCTATAATAGAGCATCTTGTCTTTGCCTTTGGCAGGGATGGAAGACTGCTATTTGCTTTTTAATCTTTGCTCATAAACTAAAACATTATAGCAAACTTACTTAGTGAAAGATGCTTCTGTCATCAACAGCCAATCCTTTAGAAGGCTATGGAAAAGTTATTTCTGTCTCGGTTTTGTGGATTTCCATTGGATGCCAGCAAAGTGAACAACTTCTTTGGTCCTGGCTACAGTTCCTACCACAAGTGTTAATGTATTTATTAAGCAAGTACTTCAAGTAATCAAGGGTTTTTTTCCCTTCTAAAAGCATTTTGAAATAATTCAGGCCTGAGCTGCAAGGTTACTTTTACTTATGCACCTGTACCAAACCTTACCTCTGTAACATGATTTAAAGTTCATGTTCACAAGGAACGTCCTAGGCTTAGCTCAACACGAATCACTTAAAACCACATTCTTTCTTTCAACCTTCCTAATTTAGCAGTAGATGTTTGAAATTGTAATACTACGAATTTAGGAAGAGATCAAACTGGAAAAAAAACCCTTCTGAATCCTCTTGTGTTTGACAATTGTGTGCTTCAAAATTGTGGACTTCAAGCAAAATTTAATGATTTCTTTTACTGAATTAGTTTTTACTGACAGTTTTTATTCCCCAGATATTGAGCATGCACAAGATCTATAGGGTGGGTGGAAACGAAATACAGATTTGCAGCTTTCACTCTCACAAAACTGGATTCTGCCTTTATTATTAAATTCTGGTAGCCTATGTCTAAATGATATGTATATTTAATTAGACTGTTAATTGACCGATTGTTGTTGCTGGGGGAGGGTGGGTATTGCTTTTTATTGTTTTTTTATGATCGTTTTTTTTTATCTCTATAAGCTGCCCAGACTCATGAGAGTTCATATGGGCAGCTACATACATTTTCTTAAATAAATAAATGTGCTGTGTACACACAGTTACTGAATTTGCATTTGTCTCTAACTACATTATGTTTACTGTTATTTATTGAACAGATTTCCTGTTCCTGTTCAAAAGAATATAGCAGAAAAAAGAGTTAATATCCTCAAAACAACAGATAAAATAATTATTGAATATAATAATAAAATCATTGGAATGCAGAGCAGTACTTAAAAAGCAAGAAAGAAACCATGTGGATTTCTGGATAGGTGGAGTGAAAGGTCATTTCAGGATTATCAGAGCAACAATTGCTGTGTGCTCAACATTCAACCTGATGACTTTCACAGATGGATTGGAAAGTAGGATCTTGGGTGTTGTATATAAGCTTACTTTCAGATTGTCAGTACCAATATGATGGATTGGCTCTAGACATGAATCGGTTATCTATAGAATTACAACAGAAATACATACACACAAACACGTACATAGTTGAAATTTATACACTTTTTAAAGGATAGCCTCATATACAGTGTATTACTGTAAATCAGCTGGGATGTAACCAGAATTTGTGTCACCAATGCAATTAAATTCATTAAATAAGACTACATTTGGCAAGGAGTCCAAGCTGATAAATGGCATTGATGATGCTTCCTCTTCCAACAAAAATAGCCAAGTCCAGGAACACTTGCCAGTTGCATATTTGGGCTTTTAAAAGAAATGAAATTCATCAGGTATAAATGTAAATTATTATCTGCAGAGATCTTGGCTTGATTAAGCTTCATATTATTCACCCTTCTTTTTTACATTCCTGTTTCCAGATATTCACTGAGGGGGTTCCACTGTCTCCTTCAGTTTAAAATAATGTTAGAACTGCATATCATCCAAAGCTTGATTTGATTCCAGTCTCATTTTTAGATGCCTTCAGGGGATTGACATGAACTTTAAAAAATGTGCTTTGGAATAATCACCTTCTTGAATTTATAATATTTAGACATGTCCTTTATTTTTAAATGTTTTGGGTGTTAGTGAATGTGAACTTAATATAAGGATTATCAGCACTGCAGTGCTTCGTTATTTGGACTGTTGAAAAAAACATTAAATATGGCAGATATATTCAATAAATTGTGCAGTTAAAAAAAATTATTCTCCTGAAACATCAGGCGTTATGACTTGATACTTTGCTTGTTTGAAGGAACGCACTCAATCATCAATATGGTTATGTGTAATATTAAAGCGTTCTCTTTTTCCTTCTGTGTCCTCTCTTTTGTAGATACCCCAGAAACCAGTCAGGAGTGTCACTTTTCAGGACGAAGAAGAAATTGTTCGGATAAACCCTCGTGATATTCTAATACGTCGCTATGCAGACTATCGGCATCCTGATATGTGGAAAAATGACTTGGATAGGGATGAAATAGATTCATCGCTGCACTGCCCAAAAGCTGACCATAAAAAATTGGACTATCTCTACCCATCCGGAGATGGACCTAAACTGAATTCCCTAAAAGATTCTAAGAGTTCTGTGGTACTCAAAACACAGCCTCCTTCTATCAAATTGAAAAAATCCAAAAAAAGGAAAGAGGACGGCGAACGCTCTCGCTGCATATACTGTCAAGAGAGGTTTAACCATGAAGAGAATGGCCGGGGGAAGTGCCAAGATGCTCCAGACCCGATTAGAAGATGCATATACCAAGTTAGCTGCATGCTTTGTGCCGAGAGCATGCTCTACCACTGCATGTCAGACTCTGAAGGCGATTTCTCTGACCCTTGCTCCTGTGACACAAGTGATGACAAGTTTTGCCTGCGATGGCTCGCCCTCATCACTCTGTCCTTCATTGCACCATGTATGTGCTGCTACCTCCCGCTGAGAGCGTGCCACCACTGTGGCGAAATCTGTGGATGCTGTGGAGGAAAACATAAAGCTGCAGGATGAAGCAGTCCGGTGCAGAAATGGGCTGACAAGTCTTTATTGCTGGGAAGTATCTAATTCATGGAAGCACTTGGCATGCAGAAGGGAACACCTACCCTGTAGGAAAGACCTCTTGTGGAAGATGTGTCAGAACTGTGTCATTTGACCAATGCAAGCCATGCCTAATCTCCTTTTTAAGCACGTAGGACAAGTGGCGAAGGAGTTATTGCAACCTGAAAGCCTTTCCTTCCGACTGGTCTTTGAAAGAAGTATAAACTGCAGTCCATACTTGAGCACTCTGTACATTTTGTGCTATAGGTGATGGGGTGGGGACACACATTTGAAATAATCAACTTGGCAGAACAGTTAACTAAACCTGCACTAAGGAAAGCTGATTGAAAACTAAAGGAAGTTAATGTCTTGGCAGATATGAAAAATTAAATTGATTTTCAATGCAACTAAATTACTTATAAATAGTTTTGAGAAACAGTTTTATGTACAAATAACAAATGTTTATATTTAACAAAATATACGGTACAAATTGTTAAATCTTTCTTCCACTTTCCAGTTCAGCAGTTATGGACCTTGTTTTCCAGGCACATTCCGTGATAGTATTTCTCAGTTTTAAATACTTAGTATTTTTATTCAAATAGAGAAATCAATATTTTCAGTCTTATTTCCCTTCAACTACATTTTTGTATTAATTTTCTTCTGTACATTCTGGTAATCTGAAAGCCTTTAAATATTAATTATTGTAGTCTTGAATGACCAATGTTTTGTTAAGCACAGATATAATTGTCTAATGCTCTTATGAGAACATAACATTTATTTTTATATATAAATAACTCTAATTTCAATGTAATGGCAAAATTTTACCCCTCCCTTTCTCACAGCCAGAAGATTTTCTTTTAGGATTTTCTCCTAAAAATGTTGATGACAGATGTTTGGGAAGAGAAAATTACCACTTTGAAATTGTTTAAAATATATGTGTATAACTCTTGTTTCAACTTGGTGCCAGTTATTTCTTTATATGTTTCCATTATTTTACTTTTATTTGACCTACCACAAGTTAAACTTATGCTATATGACAAACTGTAGTCCAGGTAGGAAAAAACAAGTTAATTTCTTGTTGAATGAAAATGGATTCTATTTTGTCTTTGAGTTGTAGCATATTAATGAATATATTTAACTTAACATTTGGCTGTGTGTTCTAAATGCCATTTCTGGTAATTCCTAAATGTTATCTATCATATGGCATAATAACATAATTAAGCATAGAGGATTTTTATTAATAAAAGTTTAAAGCAGTGAACCAGTCATTCATTCAAAAAGGTTAAAGGGTGTGGAGAAGGGAGTAAAATATGTCTTTAATATGTTTTTGGATTAAAATTAAAATTTCACAATTTTTAATATCTGTCTGTCTTCAGAAAAATACACATGTTGATTTTGTTTTCTTAGGATCATGTTCCATCATACAGTTTAACTTCCACTATACAATCTACATTTGTTAAAGCCCAGACATCAAAACCAAGCAATTGTACATAACACTGCAAAATATCTTTTTAAAGGGGCATTTATATTTTATACAACTGCTTGAACTGACTACATTGTGTACATAGATCATCTTGAAGTATTATTTCACATTGAAAAGAAGAGAAATATATGGATAAGTATGGAAGTTAAGAGCTTCTTTCTAGTTTGGTACTTTTATCTAGAATAAATAACCTAAGTCAGCAAACATGATTCTTTAGCAGCAGTTGCCTTTCCTGAATTTTATATCTTTAAAAACTGCTGCATAGATGTCTTTGATGCTTCATATAGTCATTTAGTCAGCCAACTTGGTTGCCTAGGCAAACTGTTGGTTTTTTTTCCAAACAGAAAAAGGGAGAGAGAGAGAGAGAAAAAAATCCCTAATTTTTATTTCATTAATGGCATGAGAACAGCATGAATTGTGAATAGCAATGATTAAACGTTTGTTTTTTATTAAAGTGGGGCATGGCAACAAATAGCCATGAAAAGAACTTGCTGGCTGACCAAGAAAGTGCTTTGGATCTCTGTGCACACATACATATTTAGATATTTTAAGAAACAGTGAATCTATGTCTGACAAGCATTAATCAACATAATACATTGGTTCCTTTAGTGTTTCCCATGGAATATGCTTTAATCCTTCTTTCTGAATACATGCATTTCAGTGTGACAGGATCCAATCTGGATCGATCGGTCACCGGGACCAGAGGACATTAATCCTAGGAGAAGTATATTTGCCTCCATTCATTTCAGTATGTACTTAAGCACTTTGCTGGTAAACACATATCCTGTATTATTGAATAAATTATGCTCCTTCTTGGGGAAGGCATTGAAATACAAACACAATACTGTAGGATTTTATGTCCTGTCCCATCCCCACTGACATCATCTGAAGTAACAACATTGGTCCAATATATGTTTATTTTTTTAATGGAGTTGTTTGGTATTTAATGCAGGACTGAAGCAAAGTCCCCTCTTAGAATAACCGTTCTATTTTAACTTAATCTACTGACTCCTATTATTTAATGAAGTTTATTTAATAGTGTTTAGTCATACATTTTCAGTGTGCGTTTATCCACATGTTGGATGCATTTCTTGTTCATGCTTTGTCCAGAAAAGTATAATGAAAAGCTGTATTTTATAAAACATCAATTCAGATGCTTTTTAATAGATAAAGTTGCCTATTTTGATAAATCTGATATTTTTAGGCCTGGAAAAGTTCTTCCTGGTTTATTCTACATGAAAATAGCTCTGTTGCTTGGGCACCACCTGCTGGACAGACATGATTTAGAAATTGTGACGAGTCATACGGCCCTTTAAGCGTTAATTTAGTATAATCTGCCACCAGGTAGGCAGAAGTATACCAGGATCTGCTCATAAATATGCAGGAGATCAGCAAGAATTTCTGGTTTCAAAAAGTTCAACAATCGTGACAAAACTCTCTACCTGTTAAATTAGAATATTGAAAGAAAAACTGCAACAGGGTGGGAGGGAGAAAAATCATAGCTTTGTGAGTCATATAGTTTGCTGGCAAGCTCCAGCTGGTTTACTTGAAAGACCTTGGGGGTTCTAGAGAAATGAAATAGCCTAAAGTAATTTAATGTAATGTACCCACTCACAAATTAGACTGTGTGTATAGAAGATACTTTCTGGCATTTGGCTCTGCAGTGGAGATGAATTCCTCTATTTAGCATTTGCAATTTCATTCTAATTCAATGTAAATGTCATTTTTGGAAGGGTAACTTATAATAGCCAACTTATCAAGTATTAATACATTTTTAATGTTTACATGCAAATATCCATGTGCTTCAAGAAAAGTAGTTACAAACTAACCTTAAAAAGTTAAGATGGTTTTTCTCTGGAACAGTTCTCTAAGACTAAGTACATTCTTATTCCCATTTCCCCATTTCAGTGATGAAAGCTTCATCATTGGGAGCTTTCAAGAAGATAGTTGTTAAGTTCGGAGGAATGAGAGACTTAGCCAGGGCATTGCAAGCAACAAATACTTTATTATTAGAAATAAAGGGCTGATTGAGCTCACCAGCCTGGAACGGGCTCGCGACAACCAGCAGCTAACCGAACCCCGCAGCCTGCTTATATAGCCGGCTGCTGGGGTGGTCAGCCAATGGGGAGGCAGTAACGCCCCCCACAACTTGAGCGGACCTGAGTGGGGACTGTGGAGAGTCCCAGGGACATAACACCCCTTCCCCCCAGATGTGAACATGAGTAATCGTTCAAATAAGCCGGAGGTCTGTGCTGGCGCTCTGAGCGTTGTAGCTCGGGTGCGTTGACCACTGGCCCGGAGCCCGAGGGAGATGGTTGAACTGATGAGGAAACACGGGCATGCTCAGCGGACTGCATTGGTACAGGGGTAGAACAGCCAACTGGCAACGGTGTGTCCTCGTACGTTGGTTCGGGCGACATACCCTCTGCGTGGTCTCTGTCTGGCTCCTCGCTCAGTGGCTCACGTGGAGGTGGTGGAGTATCTCCCGGGCTGAAGTTGAAGGGAGTCTGGCTTGGTGCCTGTGTGTTGGGTTGTGCCCATGGTTCTGCGCAGGGCGTAGTGACTAGGCGCTTACGAAGCTGGTCCAGGTGTCTCCTCCAGATGCGACCGTCATTTAACTGGACTTTGTATGACCTGGGACCGGTGATGGCAATGACCACTCCAGGGATCCACAGCGGGTCTCCCGCATAGTTCCTCGCGAAGATGCTCTCCTGCAAAACAAAACCTCTGCTCCCCGCTGAAGAAGCGAGGGGTGAGTCAGGGCAGTAATTAGGGTGAAGTCTATCTAACACGGTTCTTAGGCGTCTACCCATCAGTAGTTCGGCCGGGGAACTGTGCACGGGGTTGCGTGTTGACCCAGCAAGAAACGGGATAGTCTATGGTGCCAGTCTTCATTGCCGAATCTGGCCAATGCTTCCTTCGTGGTTCTAACGGCTCTCTCTGCCAACCCGTTGCTGGCGGGGTGAAAGGGATCCGTGAAGATGTGACGGATGCCCAGATTTGCGGCAAAACGGCTGAACTCTGTTGAGGCAAACTGGGGGCCGTTGTCAGAAACTATGGAGTCTGGAAGCCCGTGGGTCACGAACAGGCGGGTCAATACCTTGGTGACGGCTTGAGTGGTGGTGGTGGATAGTTGGGCCACATCAATCCACTTAGAGTATGAGTCAACCACCACCAAGAACATTCTGCCGTGAACTGGACCCGCTAGGTCAATGTGCAGTCTGGACCAGGGTGCGTTGGCGCTTTCCCACTTTGTGGGGGTGGTGATTGGAGGGGATGGTCTAGACTCCTGGCAGGGTTGACACGAGCTTACCCATTTGCTGATGTCGTCGTCGAGGCCAGGCCACCACACGTAGCTGCGTGCCAACGCCTTCATCCTGACAATGCCACGGTGGCCCTCGTGTAGTGCTTCCAAGACTCGGGTGCGCAGTTGGGCCGGGATGACCACTCTGGTGCCCCACAGCAAACAGCCCTGCAAACTAGATAATTCTTGTTGGCGTATTTTAAAGGATGTGAATTCGTTAGAAATACTCGTGCCCGGCCACCCCCTCCTCACCCAGTCCAGTACCTGGGCAACCGTTTTGTCCTTTTTGGATTTAGTGGCGATATCGAGGGCAGTGACAGGAAGGTCGAGCTGGGTGACCTCAAAGATAGCGTGGACCGGGGCC